CCCCTCCCTCCGCCCGAGGCACTCGGTGATTTCCCTGGGCTCTTCCCTATAAAAACCTGGTGGGGTCCCTGGTGGTAAAGCCCAGAAAAGCGTGAGGGTTCCCTAGGGCTGCGGCCCCAGAAGTCTCGGACGGTAGTCCCCGCTAGTCCTCCAACAGTTTGTCAAAATTGCCAGTTCAGTGTTTTCACTGGTTTGTGACTTCAGCAGCTTCTGTTCCAGGTAAGCTGATCTCAGCTATGTGCCTTTGTACTTAAAATGTGGGTCTAAAATGTGGGTGGCCCTTGGCCCCAAGACCTCAGTTTCTCTGATGGCTCCACAAAAAAGACATTTGTTTTCAGCATGTTCAGCTTTTTTTCTTGTTTTCCAAATTTTAGGATTTGTTTTGTTTTGTTTTCAGCTTTTTTCTTGGCATTGGACAGGCATGATGACATACTTTCAAGCTCTTCACATGTTGAGGGGGGACCTAGAAGTCTTTACTGCACTTTCTTTTATTTTTGTTTATTTTTTTAAAAGATTTTATTTATTTATTTGACAGACAAAGATGACAAGTAGGCAGAGAGGCAGGCAGAGAGACAGGAAGAAGCAGGCTCCCCGCCAAGTAGATGCGGGGCTCCATCCCAGGACTCTGGGATCATGACCTCAACCAAAGACAGAGGCTTTAACCCACTGAGCCACCCAGGCGCCCCATGCACTTTTTTTTTTTTTTTTAATCTTTTCAGCGTAACAGTATTCATTGTTTTTTGCACCACACCCAGTGCTCCATGCAATACGTGCCTTCCTTATTTTATGTTAAAACAGAAACATAGGGGCGCCTGGGTGGCTCAGTGGGTTAAAGCCTCTGCCTTCGGCTCAAGTCATGATCCCAGGGTCCTGGGATCGAGCCCCGAGTTGGGCTCTCTGCCCCACAGGGAGCCTGATTCCTCCCCCTCTCTCTCTGCCTGCCTCTCTGCCTACTTGTGATTTCTCTCTCTCTGTCAAATAAATAAAATCTTAAAAAAAAAAACAAAAAACCAGAAACATAAATTTAGATCTAAATTCCGTAGAATTTAGTTCTAAGCACCTTTGAAATATGATGCATTTGTAAATTAAATTAAAAATCCTACAAAAATACTGAAACTTGAATCAACAATATCACTTTAAGATTGTGTGATTGAAGCAAAATTTTTTTTAAGGATTTTATTTGTATTTATTTGAGAGAATGAGACAGAGAGAGCACACAAGGGGGAGGGGGCAGAGGGAGAAGCAGACTCCCCACTGAGCAGGAAGCCTGACCTGGGGCTGCTCAGTCCCAGGACCCTGAGATCATACTCTGAGCAGAAGGCAGACGCTTAACTGACTGAGCCACACGGGCGTCCCAAGCCAAAGCATTTCTATTAGATTTCATAAAAAGAAGGTTGTGCTCGGTTCTGATACCACACTTCAGACTCTTAACTTCAATGAATACTTCATTAGGAAATTTTTGTTTATGTAAAGTTATATAAAATGTTACTCATAGCATCACGACTTTGCTTTTTTTCTATGTATAATCATCAAACAAAGGTCTGCTAGAATGCAGTTTTTCTTTTTCTTTTCTTTTTTTAAGATTTTACTTATTTGTTTGAGAGAGCAAGTGAAATAGTGAGAGAGAACATGAGCAGGCAGAGGGAGAGGGAGAAGCAGGCTCCCCGCTAAGCAAGTAGCACGATGCCCGGGCTCAATCCCAGGACCCTAGGATTATGATCTAAGCCAAAGGCAGCCGCTTAACCGACTGAGCCACCCAGGTGCCCTAGAGTGGAATTTTTTTAATATCAGTTTTGATGTAGCAGATTTTGGTGGTTCTTTAAGTGCGTTATATTCACATGGAGAGATGTGTCCATTGCAACATTATGAAAACCTGTACTTAAATCACTGCTTTGGGTTCAGAGTATAAAAAATGTTATCTTTGCAAATTTATCACATAAATATAAGGTATAGCTTACCTTATCACTAATGACCTGTTGCAATTTTAGATACATAAAAGTATCTCTTAATGAGTTTAAATATATATATATGTGTATATATATATATATGTATATATATATTTAGTTCAGCATGCACCTATCTCTACCACAATGAGCCTCATGAAACTGAAGTCAATTTTTTTTTGGATTTATGTATTTATTTATTTGCCAGAGAGAGAGAGAGATCACAAGTAGGCAGAGAGGCAGGCAGAGAGAGAGGGGGAAGCAGGCTCCCTGCTGAGCAGAGAGCCCGATGTGGGGCTTGATCCTAGGACCCTGAGATCGTGACATGAACCAAAGACAGCGACTTTAACCCACTTAGCCACCCAGATGCCCCTGAAGTCAATTTTTTACTGTAAAACTTTATTTGCACATTGGCATAATGTTACGTAGCCTTCACGCTAGACACATATGTTCACAAGGAACCTAAAGGAAGCTACTGGAATCCCAGGGCAGTAACTGATAGTAAAGCCACTATGTAGATGGTCTGATAAGTACCCATGTTTGTGGTTTGCTTTCCAAGACCCCTGAGCATACATACCCTGATTTCAGACTGAGGAAAAAAAAATGTCTTTCACCTTGTTTAGAAATCAGACTTTATTGGATTTGACAACCAGCTCTGATGACTCGTAGTTCTATGATCTTGACCAGTATACTTAATGCCTCTATGGCTCAATTTCTTAATTGGGAAAATGACCTAACAAAGTTGCTGTGAAATCCAGTGGAATGATGACTGTAAAGCCGCAACTTCTTGATATTCCTCGTGTTCTTTCAGTTAATCATCAGCTGGACCTGAACCTTTTTCACCCAGATCTCTGGTAAGGCATCTTCCATATAGTAAGACATAACACTAATATCATTGTTATATAGTATAATAGTAACATATACATATATGTAGTTGACTCTTGAACAACACATGAGGATAGGGATACTGATTTTCCAACCCCCCCCAACACACCTTAAGATATACATAAGGTTTCAACTCCCCTAACATTTAACTACTAATAGCTCACTATTGACTGGAAGCCTTAACAATAATGTAAACAGTGGATTAACACATTTTTTTATGTTTTGTGTATTATACACTATATTCTTGTAATAAAGTACACTAGAACTAAGAAAATATTATTAAAGTCATAAAGAAGAAAAATACACTTATGGTACTATACTATATTTGCTGAGAAAAATCCATGTGTGAGGAGACCCGTATTGTTCAAACCCATTTTGTTCAAGGGTCATCTGTAATGTGTGTGTGTGTGTGTGTGTGTGTGGGTGTGTGTGTGTGTATACACAAATACACAGAGACCATATGGCTGAGGATTGTGGAAGTAATCAAATAGAGAAAGAAGTGGTTCACATTATGGAAGTAAAAATACATACATACAATATTACAGAGTCATCCTAGAAATACAGTCCACTTGGACAGAAATAAATCTCATTAGGAGAGAATTTTGGAAAGTTGATGTCTTCCCTTCTTTTTCCCAGAGTCTGACTTTTCTAATCACATAGTGTTGACAGGGGCACATAAATTTAACAATATATGAAGGGGTTCTTAAACTGTTGATATTTTAAGATGCCAAAAGGACCATATTCTATAATATGATGTATTTACAAATGATTACAAAGGAAATAGAGTGAGTTCTGATGTGCATCTCCAGTTCCTTTTCACTAAGAATTTGGTGATAAATTTAAACTAATGTGATTAAGGAGTAGCCTAACCACCCTCATGCTGATTCAGTCTGCACCCATGACTATGATCCTAACTTCTTGTCCAGAGCTGCCTGCCTAAATGGCTCTTCTGCTTGCTTAAATGCCTCCGGTACTAATACTGTTACCCTTTAAGAGTGGCTGTATGATAGGGGCGCCTGGGTGGCTCAGTGGGTTAAAGCCTCTGCCTTCGGCTCGGGTCATGATCTCAGGGTCCTGGGATCGAGCCCCGCATCGGGCTCTCTGCTCCGCGGGGAGCCTGCTTCCTCCTCTCTCTCTGCCTGCCTCTCTGCCTACTTGTGCTTTCTCTCTGACAAAAAAAAAAAAAATTTAAAAAAAAAAAAAAAAAAAAAAAAAAGAGTGGCTGTATGATACTGTTAATTTCTGTCTCCCAAACACTGGGTGCATTGTTCCTACATCTGCAGTCTTTCTACCAGACCTATTGTCTTCTGAGATCATGTTCTGTGGTGTCCATGGGCATCATGGCAAGACTGTTTTGGTGGTCTCTTTGTAGGAAATATGATCCTTCCCTGTTAGAAGCACCAAGAAGTTTCTAGGAAACAATCAACACTCTCCCTCACAACAATTAGATCTAAAAATTAGCTCATTAATATAATGTTGTATGTTTTGTGTGTGTGTCCTACTGGAATTTGAATGTGATCAAATGAGATGCAAAGTGTAAATTCTGACAAGCTGGTAGAAAGTGAAAGAACTTTCTTTCCTCGAACCCCATGCCTGGTACCTCTTTCCTTCACTACACTCCTGGGGAAATCAATGAATTGTTAGGTGCTCAAAAGAGATCTCTAAGTAATGTTAACATCAGTATAGATAGAGCTGGGAAGTGAACATTATTGGATTATTTTAGTAGGGATCCATCTCCTTCCTTCATGTGTTTTGTGTTTGAAGCTAGATATGAGGGATATACATTGAGTCTTCTCTCAGTGTAGAATATGAAAGAGAAGGTAATTAGAATTAATAGAAGATAAAAGATTAAACAGTAATAGAAAATGAGAATATTATAGAAGGCGTATGGATTTTATAAAAAGGGAAAAATTAATCTGCTGCACATCATTGACCCTGTTACAATAACCCTTTGTTTCTTTTTCATTTTACTTCTCCTCTTTTGTAATATCCTAAATGGGAAGAGGAATGAGTTATCTTACAAATTTAGATTTTGCAAACTTGTGCACTGATGAGAGTACTATTAAAATGCATTGTTAAGAAAAATTTTCAGGGCACAAATGTGTCATTTCCTTTCTTCATGAACCAGATGCTGAAATACTATGTGATAAAGATTTTAGGACTCAACTGTAAAGAGAGGGAAGTGGATAAATCAGTGCTGCTGTCTTTAGGACAAACGGTAAAAGAAGTTTATTTTAATGTTTTTCCAAAATTGCTTCCATTGGTTATATGGGTCTACTCTGTGTCTCTGTGTGTTTGTGTGTTTGTGTGACAGGTGAGATGTATATATACATATATGTTTATATATATAATCAATAACTTTTGGTAGCATTTTTTATCTATCACTAATTATTTGGTCTGGTTGTTTCAATGATTAAAAAAATAGAGATTTCTGCTAGGTTTTCTGTGAGTGAAAAATGTATGTGTGTGCATAAATATATATGAAACATGCTAAGTACTTTATAGGTTAAACTAGCAAGAAATTTTTGACATATAATCATCCATATTTTAAAAAATTAAGGACCTTATTCAAGATATGATTGAAGCTCTTTTAATTAGTCTCATTTTCTTACTTATCATATAATACCTATTATTACCTGTATTTGCTTATATAACAAATACTGGTTAGATATTTACTATAGGCACTTTGCTGAACTAGACGTAGAGAAGGGATCAGAAAAGTAGAACAGAGTCTGTCTTCAGGAAGTTCATGATCTAAGGCAAATAAGCATAATATAATCTGAACACCTTAAGTATTTGTAAGGGTGCTCTAGATAACCACTGTGAGAATGTAGGAGAAGCCAACATTACTTGGGGGAAAGAATTTGAGAAGGTCTTCATGGAGATATTTAAAACTAGGTTCATTTTGGGGCACCTGGGTGCCTCAGTGGGTTAAAGCGTTTGCCTTCGGCTCGGGTCATGGTCTCAGGGTCCTGGGATTGAGCCCCGCATCAGGCTCTCTGCTCAGCGGGGAGCCTGCTTCCTCTCCTCTTTCTGCCTGCCTGCCTCTCTGACTACTTGTAATCTCTGTCAAATAAATAAATAAATAAAATCTTTAAAAATAAATAAATAAATAAATAAATAGATCTAGGTTCATTTTAAAGAATGGATGAGATTTACACAGCATAAAATGGGGGTTAGCATTCTCATTGGCCATGTGAGAATAGTGATAGAAAAATCACGGAACTGAGATTGTGTTTTATGCAGTATTTAGGAGCTATTATTCTGCAAGTACAGTACCTATATTTAAATCCGGCCTCCCTACTTCCTAGTTGTATAACATTAACTAGTTACTTAAACATTCTGGGTCTTAGTTTCCTAAGCTTTTAAAATGGAGAAAATACTGCTATATACCTCTTGGAGAGTCTGTGAGGGTAAAAAGAAGAAAAGTCCATTATATTAAAAAAAAAAAGAAGGTACTTAAAAATAATTATTTACTGATGGTACCTGTGTACCAGCCAATTTATGAAAATTATTTTAAGTTTTCATAATAATTCTTAAACTGACACTATAATCTTATTTTACATATATAAAGGAAGTTGCAATCAAATCAATTAAAGTATTTGCTAAAGGTCACAGAGCTAGGAAGTGGCACAACGAGGATTCAGACCTAGACTTCCAGTTCAAGGATGAATTCACTACCAAGGATGAGCATCAATGGTATCAGGATATTTCCATTCTTAACTTAATCCCTTTTATGGATATATTCCTTAGGTATAAAGCTGTTGCTTTTACAAATACATTAATTCTATTCCCATTCATATATATTTTTGACTATTTGTACAAAATCAGAGTTTTTGTTTTTAAATAATAAGAAAGGTAACAGAGTTCTTATTTACCCCAAATCTTAAAGGTGAAATTAAGGGTTTGTTGGTAAATCTGATTTGGAACAGTCTTAGAAGAAAGAATGTACCTTAAATATATATCACATGTAAAGACTTTATTCGTATCTGTATCAGGGAAGTTCCACTGGGGCTTTACAAGCAACTGATATGAATAAACAAAAATTTAAGAAGACAAATAAATATATAATAAAAAATAATAATTACATGAACTATCTCTTCCACACTAATACTAAATAAGACAAAAGCCACTTTGAGATATCATTTAGCGCCTATCAAAATCTAAATGATTCTAAAATAAATATTATTACTGAGTAATGGTAAATTCGGCTTAAAACGGCCATGACTACGTAAATAGGATAGATACATTTGATGCATTACTATTTGGCCCATCAGTTTGAAGTTGAAAAAAAAAATTTGAAGTATACAAATATTGATAAGCTTTTAAGGGAAATACATAAGACCAGCTGGAATGGTATCCCCATGGTATCAACTGTGTAATGTGGATACGTATGTACAAGATTAAAATTTCATCTGAAAAATGAGGGTATTTTTTTCTTATATAAAGGTAATGGGACGACAGAATTTTTTTTTTATTGAAGTGTAGGTACAGCTGACATACAACATTACATTGGTTTCAGGTGTAAAATATGATGATTCCACATTTATATACATTATGAAATGATCAGCCTGATAAGTCTAGTTACCATCTGTCACCATACAAATTATTTCAGTATTGACTGTGTTCCCTGTGCTGAAGTCACATCTCTAGTGACTTACTTATTTCACACTGGAAGTTTATACCTCTGAATCCCCTTTGCCTAGCTTGCCCACCCCCCAATTCCCTTTGCCTCTGGCAACCACTGGCTTGTTTTCTGTAGTTATGAGTCTGTTTTGTCTTTTGTTCTGTTTGTTTATTTGTTTTGTGAACTTACGATATTTGTCTTTCTCTGTCTGACGTATTTCACTTAACGTAATATCCTTTAGGTCCATCACGTATTGCCACCGATGGTAATATTTCATTTTTTATGGCTGAGTAATATATAGAGATCTTATGAAGTACATCTTTATCCATTTACCTATCGATAGACACTTAGGTTGCTTCCGTATCTTTGCTATTGTAAATAACATTACAGTGAGCAAAGTGGTGTGTATATTTTTCCAAATTAGTGTTTTTATTTTCTTCAGATAAATACCCAGAAGTGGAAATGCTGGCTTATATCATATTTCTTTTCTTAATTTTTTGAGGAACCTCCATACTGCTTTCCACAGGGCTTGAAACAGTTTACACGCCCACCAAGTGTTCCTTTTACTCCACATCCTTGCCAACACTTGTTATTTCTTTTCTTATCTTTTTAATACTAGTCATCCTAAAGTATGAAGTGGTATCTCACTGGTTTTGATTTGCATTTTCCTAATAATTAGTGATGTTGAGATTGTTTTCATGAGTCTGTTGCTGATCTGAATGTCTTCTTTGGGAAAATGTTTATTCAGCTCCCCTGTCCCCCACTTTTTTAAAATCCAGCTGTTTTTTGTTTGTGCGGGTGGGGTTTTTGTTGTTGTTGTTGTTTTGTTTTGTTGTGTGTTTGGGGGGATTTTTTTGTTGTTGAGTTGTGTGAGTTCTTTATATACTTTGAATATTAATCCCTTATTGCATAATATGATTTGCAAATATCTTCTCCCATCTGACCCAACTTATCTTTCATATTGTTACAATATTTTTATAATAAAAACGGGAAACACTGAAGGGTATGTTTCCAAACAGGTTAACACTGCAACACTTTCATTATGGTTTTCCTGTTATAGCTTCTGTAAACTTTTCACCCACTTCATAAAAGGCTGATATTGCAGAACTGTGTTTCACTTCTCATGAGAACATGCTTTTAATAGATTATACAAACTCAAAAGATTTCACAACCCTTCTCCCGTGCATTGACACTTCGTAGGAATTGTAACTAAATGTGAGGTTACTTTTTCCCTTTGGAAATGACATTTACAGACACATTTGAATTGTTTGAATTGTTCACTGGGTGCTGACAAAACTTCGCATGTGTGTGTTCTCTAACATGACTAAAAATTACAATGATAATAATCATTGTAAAGAACTGAAGTAATCTGGTAAGTCTAATAAATGACTTTGAGGTAAAGTGAGAATACTGGGAGTGAAATTTTTTGTTTCAATTTAGTTATGCACAATTCAGAGAAAAACATTTTTTTGAGAAAAACATTTCATTATGTATAACAAAAGGACTTTTGAAAATTTCACGAGTGTAATGTGTACTTTTCTTGAGGCATAAACTCAAATATGAAAAATAATCACAATTGTTTTTCATTTATTTATGTAATTTCTTTTTTTTTAAACATTTTATTTATTTGACACAGAAAGAGAGAGATCACAAATAGGCAGAGAGGCAGGCAGAGGGGGAGGAGGAAACAGGCTCCCCGCTGAGCAGAGAGCCCGATGCGGGGCTCGATCTCAGGACCCTGAGATCATGACCTGAGCTGAAGGCAGAGGCTTAACCTACTGAGCCACCCAGGCGTCCCTATTTATGTAATTTCTTATGATGCATTTGTGTATATGATGAACACCTGCTAAATGCCAGGAACTTTCTGCTTATTGAACCAAAGAGAGAAAACTCTTGAATCCTGGATCTAACTGGGGTGAAAGGGGACAGATAACAGACAAGATAAATAAGGAAAGGGTATTTCATGTTAGTTGGTGATAAATCTGGAGGGAATAAATCCAACAAGGAAGGAGAAGAAGAAGTGAAAGAGATAGGTTATAATTTTAACTCTGCTACTCAAGAAAGGTCTGAAACGGTGAGGTTTTAGGCGGGACCTAAGTGAGATGGGAAGGTGTTCACGAGTTTTGACCAGAGGAGTGACATGACCAGTAAGAGAGCTATTAAAACAGTCCAGGTGAGCAAGATCATGGGGCTCAAGGAAGGATGGTTATAGCAGAGGTGATGAGAAGCAGTCAGTTTCACCAGAGGATTTGCAAACAAATCAACAAGAGATGATGACAGAAGAATGAGAGAAGGTGTGGGGGACAAGGAAGACCCCTAGGTTGGGGCCATACTAGACATCCAAGTAGTGAAGTTATTAGGAGTTGCATATACAGGCAGGAGAGGTCTGGGCAGGAGATAAAGATGGGATGGTTTGGGAGAGGAGGAATTAGCAGGGGAAAGTAAAACTCCCCTCAAGGAACTATCTTAGTGCAATCTCGAGTCCCATCTCAGCAGAAAATCATGAACAGGACCACATTTCTGGTATATACTCAATGCCTTTCATTTTTATCCTTTTACTACTTCTGGGCCTTTTGAGTCGTCTTCTGCCT